AAACATATTGAGATGTTTACCCTTCACAGCTACTTCGATTGTTGTTTCTGCTAATCCGAAGCGGTTTGTTGCACGGCAGACATACTTGCCGTCGCTGTTGTACTCAACAGGGTTGAATTGGAGGCAGCCTTGTTCCTGATAAGTCACTGATGTACCACCAGAGTGCACGTGACGAGGGCGTGACCATTCGACGCTGGGACGAGGAAAGCCAACAGCCTTACAAAAGAAACTTAAAACGGAGCCTTCATCCACGATGACCAAAGATCCATGTAAGTTTTCATCGTTCCGTTATTTTATTGTTTTTGCCTTGTCGTATTTTCTGTTTTCTGTTGTCTTTTCATCGTTTTCTGTATTTTATTTACATGTAGTTTCACCATTCGACACTGAAGGAAAATAAACCATCGATTTGTATACACTTCGTGTCTCGGTTGAACACTACGCTAAGAACGCGATAGTCGGAGGATTTTACGGGGATCACGTGGCTTTCAGGGGGAACAAGATGGGGGTAGCGGTCGTTAACAGATTGTATACGGGGGAATATAGAAAATTGACTGCCAACGAGAGGATAATTAAAATACTTAAGAACTGATAAAACTTTATTGTAACACAACAAACTCCTCCGACTCTCCCACTCACCCCCCTGGCGACTGGTTCCTTACGTGTGATTTGGAATGTATTTATTTAGTTTAGGCATCAAGCGAACTTGGTTAAGAATTCAACAGCCTTAACATATTTTCGTAATTAATTTAACTGAGTTTACAGTTATCAGCTCAACCCCTCAGAGCAATCCTCTCTCGACATCTCATTCTAGACCGTTGAGACAGTCCCATCGCAGTGAATCATAGTTCACTGAAGTATAAGAAAAGAGTTTTGTCAAGTCATCTATATGTATAACCCGTTGAATTGTATGTTATGTTATATGCTAGTTATAATACAATTTTTTCTTTACATGAAAAAGGAAGTATTACAATTGCAAGAAAGGAACTATCATATCTCACCAGCTACTTGATCTACCCGTTTAGAGGGTCACCTATATCCCTTTGTAAAACTCAGTCTCGTACAAATAATATTTGGCCTTTTCACGCATCACAAGTAATATCCAAAACTCTTTCACGTTCTCGCCAAAATTAAGACAATCACCGTCGTTGAATTACTATTTTTACTTTTTTTAGTCTTGATGAGACTAACAAGAAAGTATATAGGAAAAAATTATGAGCTCACTGTAAGGCAGATACCGACCTATTCATCCAGGAAAAATGATGATGCTTTTCGTTGATTTGACTACAGCTTACTATGATCTCCATAAATATCAAAACGTTCATAATGCACAGCAAAAATTTTGGAGTTCATGAATAAACGCATGTTTGAGGCGGCTTAGGCATTTTTATACATTTCATATTCTGTCTCGCAGGGAATCGAATTGTAGAAACTAAACTGACTCATATCAAACTTCAAAGTCGTTTGGATCAAAGTCAGTAGTTTTATGCTTATTCGTGAAAGTTTTCAGCTCATTCTCGGCATTTTCATCTACTTGGTTCGTTATCTCCATAGATAGATGGACTGGTTTATTAAAATCACATCGCAGTAAAATACTGAATTGTGCAATTTTTTCACAAACTACTACTATACTAATATAAAATGTGATGACTAAAAGTTCTGTTAAAAGTTCTCTACTGCCGCACCCTTCACGAAAAACGAATTAGCAAAACGCTTTGTCTTGGCTGCTGGTACATTGAACGTTCTTTGGCGCCTTAAATTATACTGAGGGCTATGGGCTTCAGGAATTAAGTAATGTAGTTTACTGTTCTGATTCTCGCTGATTGATTTAAATAACGACTTTGTAACGTCTTCGTGATGTTCCCTGATAGAAGTCAAACAGGTGCGCTCTAACACTTCCCCGTACGGCATTTTAGGAAAATTACACGCCAGAGCTCTTTTCTGAACTTTGTACAGCTAAAATGCGCAGTTCATTNAAAACGGAAGAGTTACATAAGTAAAAAAGATTAGAGTTCGTATCCGTAAACGTGACACCGCCATGACACATTCGGTCTTTAAGCTGATATGCAACGAGTTTCAGGTAACTGAGATAATCGCAAATCAAAACTCAAAAATATTGAGACGCTTACCCTTCACAGCTACTTTGATTGTTGTTTCCGCTAATCCGAAGCGGTTTCTTGCAGGGCAGACATACTTGCCGTCGCTGTTGTACTCAACAGGGTTGAATTGGAGCCAGCCTTGTTCCTGATAAGCCACTGATGTATCACTAGAGTGCACGTGACGAGGACGTGACCATTCGACGCTGGGAAGAGAAAATCCCACAGCCTTACAAAAGAAACTTAAAACGGAGCCTTCATCCACGATGACCAAACATGGTAGTTTCTTGACAAATGTCGGTGGCCCGTGAAAAGGCCAAAATTTTTAACCGTAAGCCGTAGAGAAAAAACTCGAACTCAATTCAGCTGCGAGAACCTGCAATAAGAGTGCTTTAATGTCTTTACAGGATATTGTCATCCCAACGTTAAAGTAAAGGTTTCGTAAGCGAAAAAGAAATTGGCCTTTTGGCCAAGTACTGCTAGTGAAGCAGACATTGTTTTACAGCCGTTGCAAAACAATATTCCAATATCTCTTAAACTACACATTTTTATTTCATCCTCTCGTTCTTTGTTGAAAAAAAAGAAAAAAAAAAGAAAACTTTCGAAGCCTGCTACGAGAATTTTGAACCTAAGAATTTTGTGCTGGATGCATTTTCTAATTTCTTTAAAGCGCCTTTATTACTGAAATAACGACCTTTCTAATCTCTCTATTTCAAGCGGTTTCTATTTCTAAATCTTTGTACTTAAAAAGCTTTTTGGATGAAAAGTATTCCCACCTGAGGGTAGAGCCACATCAATAAAAGAACATTTCTCATCTTTTCGGTTTTAAATAATACTACATGGACAGCTTAATCTTATTCTACGACTTTCTGCGTGGGCATATCGTAAAGGTAGCTATGTATTACTTTCCTAGATTGTAACGAATTGTGGGATGATCTCGCCTTCCTTCTAGTTTTCTTGGCGAAGTTTGATCATAAGCCGACAGAATGGGGTGTTATCCCGCGGAGGGAAATATTCATTCAACATTCCGCAGCTGTTTTTATTTTTTTAATGAGCTTATGCATCGGATAACATGCAGAAAGCGCATGACTATTAAGTGCCACGGTAAGGAGTCAGCAAGGAGAAAAAATTGGCGTTGTTTGTTGCTTTTGCACCCAGCTGCGTCGGAGAATATGTTGAAGCTTTTGAACCACTTTTACCATTGGTGAGCGAGAGAATTTTGATCGTCATGGGATCAAACGACGGGATTAAAGCGGTGTTTGACAATCAATACGGCCACGGGTTCAATCAATCCACGTCGCTAGTGTAATAATATGTAATAATAGTTTTCTTCTGATCGGTTTTTATTTTTTATGGCTGCTCATCCTTTTTACACAACATCTGTTGAAACGACTTACTAAGTTCAATTCTTGAAATCTTTTTTGAAATTAACAAAGATCCCTGTACCAAAAAATGGAGGCTGTAACGTATTGAAACGACCGAATATTTACATTCTCTCATGCCAGATTATAATCACAGACGGCTTGAGTCTTAGCTTGCGTCTTTATACACAGGGCGAATTGTGTACGTTTGCACACTTTTCAACACAAATCAAGTAAAAACTATTCTTGAAAATACCTGTTTTCAGTTGTCAGAAAAAGGGTTTGCACAGGGGCGATAACGTACTCACCATCAGATGTTGAAGCGGCAGAATCATCAAGCGCGCAACTGATTTTTAACGGGTGTATGTTCACTTAACTAACAGCCACTCTTCTCTCATTTCATACTAAGTGGTGACGGCATACTAGTGAACTTTCAGATCATGAGTTAAGAGGAACAAAATAGTCTTTATTGGAAAAACCGATTCTTCTTTCAATTCCCGCGATGGAAATTTTCAAACGCCGTTGTTGTTTAATTTTTTTTTTTTTCAGAGAGTGAAAGAACAGTTGGATTTTGCTTGAAGAGCGGCTAGTTAGATGTTCGGCTAGTACGTTAAACACGCGTATTAGTTTGAACTGTTCGGAATGTTTTATTAAAAAAATGCAATCTTACCAATTTTTCGAGAGTCATATCCGGACGAAGGATGTTTGCAAGAACATGAAAATGTTTTGCTCTTCTCATGAAACAAACAAGAACCGCCATTACGACAGCCTGTCTTGAGACATCCCTAATATAACAAATATGTATTCTCATTTAACAAGCATATTTAACCAAACATAGTACAACTCTTCCTGTTTAGCTGCAGTTGTTTTGCATGTACTTGTAACTAAACAAAACTAAGGGATATAAGGGGTAAACGCTCAATAACTCTCGGAAATCTAATTAATATGCATGAAAGGGTGAAGCTCCTTTAAAATTGAAAGATCACAACTTTTTTTCTTTTTGTACGTGTTAAAAAAGCAGACATGCAAACAAAGGAAAGAACAACAGGAAAAATATACCCTGAGGGTCATAGAGAACGTAAAGCCTTTTTGATCATAAAACTGGGAATTTCCGTCGAGGATCCCATGCTTGTTTAGTTCACAAGTTCCTTTATCGTCCTTTTCGGATGGTTTTTCGAAGTTTGTTGAAGTACACCAGGAGTTTCTGAGGCATGAAATACTGCATGATATTTTAGTAGGAGATCGAAACTGTTTTAGTGCATGACCATCAAGGCGCTTATTCTCCTTAGTGGTTAATAACGCTGAACGAGAATGCGTCGAGTCTTCTGTAGCAAAAAGGATGGCGAGTCCTTGAAATAGGAAGAGGAAGAAACTTTCCATGACCGCCATTTCTAGAACATATCATTAACTGAGTGAGATCGTTGACGCAGGTGTCCCTTTTATTGGATGTTGAAACAGTACAACACCATTGGCGAATTCTTAATTATCGACGTTGAACAAATTTAAAGAGAGAGGCCACA